TACACGTTCGCTATGTTCTAAATCTAAAAACTCGCCCAGTGGCGTGTCAAATACGAATCACAATTCCCACTCTCGAAAAAAAGCGTCTGTCCTACTCAGATGAAAAAGGCAAACCGTCAATCGCCATCGTGCCTGGTTCACTCCGCATTTCTATGAATAGGTTAGATAGTCTCCTGTCAACAAAGGCGCTCCAGCGCTATTTTCGGCTAAGATGCGCAGGCAAGGCGGGTACGATGTAATCCACGCAAGCTAGGCTTGACCGAATGAACATCCGGGGTATTGTTTTCGGGTAATTCAATCTCAAGGTTCCTCATTATTTTATGAGTGGTGTGATGTTTTCGCGTCGTCTAGGTTTTCCATTTCGTAAATACACAATCATATTAGCGCTCCGAGTGGATTTCTGAGAGTTTTTTGCACTTCTCCTTGAGGTCTGTGTTCATTGTTCGTTCGTTTCCTTTGATTTCAGTACCAATTTTAGCACTGTTCCACTATTAGGACCCCAAAATCTTAAAATTTTATTCTTCTTCGAAATTTTGCTCCACTAGGACTGGTGTGCGGGGGGTTATTTAGTATCCGGCACTATTGCACTATTACAACCCCAGTAGGGGTGAGATGGGTCAAAAAATTTTTTCGCTGAAACTTCCCTATGGGGGTTATCGAGGGTCCTGATCACGAATATGAATCCATTTTTGGCGCTGGCGCCACGACTGATTCTCACCAAATTCGCTGTAAACTTCTGTATAGGGGTTATTTGGGGTCCTGATTACGAATATGACATTCGTTTTTGTTGTTGGCGCTATTTGGCGCCTATTTCCTGCTCGTCTGCGCCCTCGCACTAATTGGATCGCAATCAGGCCTTTGAATAGTGGAGGGCTCCAAAGTGAGTAAGCCACTCACTCTGTGATCTCACACACTTGATCCTTTGCCACACGAAGTTTGGTTTACCCAGTACACCGCGATCACTCCCTTTCCCCTAGGCTTAGTCCTGGGAGCTGAGTGAGAGAGTATAAAATCAGAAATACGTAAACTAGTCAAGCGACAAAAGAATGTCCTATCCGTAACCAGGGCTCAAATACTCTCAAGTGCAATACAGGGAATGATGTGGCCTCAGTCGGCGCAGTTTGGGCAGCATTGATAGATCTCATGATTTGTAGTCAGCCCGATAATCCGTAGGGAAGTTTCAGCGAATTTTTTTGATTCATTTCGCCGACGCTGTTCGGTGTCATAAGTGCTATTATGCCTTAGTATCATTGATTAGTATATGAACTCGTTTTTGGAATGAGGGGTCGAGATACATTTATTGCTTCCTAGCGAATCCTCATGAGTCCACAGCTTGCTCAGGAGTGGGGGCGAGTTGGGTCAACCACATCCGTGGACAAAAGTGAGGTACTTAGCGGAGGCTTACTCCGTGAGCTCTCCTCTCTCCTCAAAAGCATTGCCGGTGAATCGCGGTTGAGTAAGAGGCCGAGCGCAGGCTGGAGTACGAGGCGAAACAAACTAGGATTCAGCGCTAAAGTAATGTGTATATCGTGATCAGGCCCACTTGGTTTTGATGGAGCCACGTACAACGTGGTCATCTAATTGGCTGCCCATGTTCTAATCAAACAGTAACGTTAACTGATGGTTCTTACTGTATTCTCAAAATCCTCAAATTATGGCCGTTCGCAATTTGGGCGTTCTTCAGGACCAAGCTTGGGAAAGAGCGGAAGCACGAAAAAATGGGATTTCTCGCTCTGTCTCTAGTCTGTTCTCCCGTGTAGGGATTAGTCCGTTTTGGCACAGGAGGTTTAGTACAAGCGGACTGCAATGCATTGTGCACAATGCCCCGTTTTTGGATGCGCTTTATCCTTCGTCGAGTCTTGTCCAATAGGTATCGGTGATGCCCTAATTACCAACGTGATATTCATTTTTGGCTAGTTGCTATTCTGCAACCGCTCACTGATCGGCTCATCTTTGAGGAAGGGAGGCTCAGAGATGAGTAAGCCACTCACCTTATGACCTCAGACCCTTCATCTTTTGTCCCAAGATGCGTAATTTACCCACCCCGGAGATTCCCTTCCCCAATAAGCTAGCGTTAAGCACTATGAATGGCAGACCACAGGAGAGCAGAAAATATGCGATAGACACACTAATTCCAAGCTAATGTTATATTCATAATCAGGACACAAAATAACCCCTCCATAAAACTCTGCACCGAATTTGATGAAAACAGCTGTCGTAACAAAGTGGCGCTCAGAATATCATATTTCCATAATCAGGGCATGAAATTATACCTATAGGCAAAGTTTCGACCGGAAAAATTGAGATTTTGGGGCAAAAATAGTGGAATAGTGCCAAAGCTACTAATCTTATCTGAACAACTTCAGTATTGAAGAGTCGGCTTATCGTGGTGGTAATGAAAATTCATAGAATTTGTTTTTCTCTATGCTGATCAACGGCGCTTCTCGAAAACTTCTTAGTTTTTGTAACATTTCTCCACGCCAGCGTGGGAGAAAAGTCGTTCTGATTCACCCAGAAGGTTTCCTGCTGTTAAGTGGCCCCCGACATTTTTCTCACCCATGACCATGTGTTCACTTCTGCGCCTAAATCGGTTCATACTGAATACTCCTGTTAATCTTAAAATGTGTTGTGCTATTTGTTGCTAGGTAACGTGGAAGTGTACTAGCTGTTTATAGGCAGGCTGTTTCAGGTACTGGGTATGGCCTAATCAACGGCATCGAACTGAAGCTGTTTGATGGTTCGTATGACGTCGCGCGCCTTGTGCGTTGTTGCGATTCTCATTGTCTGCATTCCTCTCTATTTAATCTTCAATCATTCCGATCATGGCGGAGCGATTAGCAACTATATGTATAGTCAATCGTTCACAGAAGGTTTGTTCTTCTGGCTTCTATACAGTGCGTCAAAGCAGGCAGCTATTGCCACCATCTGAAAGTATGCTACATCTTTTTACTGCTGTACTGCATCTGAAAAAGTTGTCGCATTAATCTTTCATTAATGCGCGATATCAGGCAGCTTTGTGTAGTTTCTTACGATTTGCGCTACTTTCACCTGCTGTAGCGATGAAAGAATGCAAACAAGCGGCCTGGTTGGCTGTTTTTGCGCCATTGCCACAGCTTTTCTCCCGAAGGCGACCACATGGGACCCCTCACACTTAGTTGAAGGAGATTTAGTGGCTTTTAGGTCCTTATTGTTTCTGAAAATTTAGTATTTTTTCGGTATAGATGAGAAGAATGAGAAGTCGTACGGTGTCATCATGGATGCGGGTTCTACAGGAACTCGACTCTTCTTGTACACCTGGACGAGTAACTCAGGTATGAACTATCTGCTAAACGATTTTCTAATACTTTCTACACATTATGCATGTGTGATATACCGTCAAATCGTGTAATAAAGGACTAGGTCGTGAGCAAAAATAAGGCGTTATGGCTGGGTCTCTTGCCTTCGCGGGCTGTGCTTAAAAGATAAATATTATTGTTCTGCAGACAAAGAACTAATCGATATTGCTCCTGCACTTGACCACCTGAATAATCATGTTGTCATGAAAGTGTACCCAGGACTGAGTACGTTCCAAGACCGTCCCGATAAGGCTGCAGGTAAATCGATCAGTCTGCATTACAACTGATCAGTGCCTTCAATTTGGATCAGTTTTTCCAGAATATATAAAACCGTTACTGGATTATGCAGCACAGTTCATACCTCACGAGAAGTTGCCGTACACACCTGTTTTTCTTCTCGCAACGGCTGGAATGCGACTTGTTCCTGAGAAGTAAGTTTTCGTTTCAAAAATCTCAAATCTGCTGGCCGAATTGTTGAAACTTCACGATGATATTACATGAACAGCAAGGATTACTTGAGATTTTCTTAACTCGTTTTTTTTTCAAATGATTGAGGTATCATTTTTATAAACTCTTGAGCTGTCGTCCAATATCTTTGGCCATGGGTCTATTTTTGTGCAAGCCTGTGGCTTTGTTCTAGAGCTTTGAGATTATCATGTATTATGCGTTGCTTCATACATAGCGACAACATTCCAGACAACAAGCTGCGATTCTCACCGATCTTCACACTAAGCTGCCTCAAATGACGACAATGCAGGTAATCATAGTTTTTTTTAAAGTTATGTAATTTCCTATAGTTGCTGACGTTTCGAACGGTATTCATTTTAAATGATGCCTACGAGGTTTACAACAGAAGCGACATTACATGCTTGGGAATGAAGTGGATTATACATCTCCTGATATTTCAAAAAATACCTAGTAGCGACACTAAAAAAAACTTAGGAGCTTCCTGTCTGTCACGTTTTTTCCTCAGTATTTCTTGTTGTTATTCTGACAATTTCAGCATGAAGTTCCCTAATTTTTATTGACTATTCTCAGCTTCGTTCATAGGAACGCTCATATACAGCTAGCAGAGATAAGGCTTTCAACTCTGACACTACGTGCATATATCATGGCTCCATTTTTTTTGATATTCTTGCACAGAAAGCAATCTATAATTTGTGGGCTTAGGGACGATCAGAAAAACACCTAAATGTTTTGATATTCAAAATTAAATTGTGGAAACTACAGTTGACATTGAAGCTCGAGGTTTTGTTACGGTTGCAAATTTTAATTGACGACAAGGCTCTTTTGATCGGATAAATATTTTAGATTATGAAAGAGCATATAAGAGTAATCGAAGGCAAATGGGAAGGCATTTATAGTTGGATCGCAGTGAACTACATTTTAGGTAAGAGCTTGGGTTTTCTCTTTTCACAATATTTCACTTCCATACTTTGGCAAGCAGTTTAGGTGAATGGCAGTGATTCTGATTTCATTGTTTTAATTCTTTTATTTTCAGGTAAATTCAAGATAAAAAACGGTTCAATGACTTCTCGACCAGACACAGTGGGAATGATTGACATGGGAGGTGCTAGCATGCAAATTGCATTCGAAATGCCGCCACAAGATGAATTCCGCAGTGAAAATGTAGAAAATGTACTTTCTGCTTATTATTGGTGTTTTAAAAGTCTTGTAACGGGTAACTATATGTAGTCTCGAATCAGTCGCGTTTACAATTTCTGGAGCGCACTACTTTGCTATGCACCTTAAGCTGGGTCGTCCGAATGTGGGTATTGCGTAGAAGTAGGGTCGCAATGAAAAGACGGTCCATTAGAAATGAAGGTAGAGGTGTTTAGTTGTGCAGGAATGAATAAGAAACAAGGGAAACGGCCTAGAATCCGAGAAATTACACTCCTTCTTGCCCGTTGATTTGTGCGTTAGAGTGTGCCCCGTCAGTGCTGACATTTTCAGCGCAGCAGTTTCTACTCAGTTTAGGAGGGGTGCTAGGTTGAATTGCGAGGGGTCGGCCTATCGGTGGGCATGCAGCGGTGCGGGTACGGTTCTTTTAGGCGACTGGAGGCATACCCTTTGCTGTGAAAGACGCATCGCCTCGCACCTATAGGGTTCGTCGTCGTTTTCCCACGAGGTATCATTTTCCATTACTTCGGGACTCCCGACCTTTCCGGGCGAATCTCTTCAATAGTACGCAAACATGTTTGAGCGGTCTTGGCCACATGCTTGCATTGATGGTGTAATGTGTAGTACATAGATTGTTGTGTAGCCTATCAGTTAATTTATCAATATGATAACAAAGTGTGCCATGTAATAGTCTGTGTCGCTCGCTGATGAGCGCTTTCGTGCCCCTATTGATATCAGCGAGATGGAGGAGACTGCTACGGGTGATACAGCTAAGATTCGTCCCTGCGAACCTAAGTAAAACGTGCCCTCCCTTCTTTAGCAGTTGGCCGCTGTCTTGATTGAACGTGTTCAATTGATGTTTCCTTCCTTTTCAAGGTAATATTGCAGTCTTCGTCATGGAATCAATGAAATACGGCTTTACTTTTTCATTCAAAGAAATAGCGGTATTTGTTCAGGTCAATCTTGGCTGCCGTGATGATGACGATAGACACAAGTACAAGCTATTCGTGACAACATTCTTGGGCTACGGAGTCAATGAAGGTAATTCTAATGGCATATTACTGGCAACTGATTTTTTAGTTTTCAATATTTTATTTATACGTAGTTTGCCTATTTCAGGTCTTCGAAAATATGAGCAACAGTTGAGCGATTCAGCTCCTGGCGACTAAAGAGAGCTATGTCAGGGATGAATGTATGCCGGTCAATCTGCAGAAGGTGATCAATCGAAGCGACGGTTCAATGTTTGTGCGAAAGGTATCGCTTTGTAGAAAGGTCAAGATTGCACATCAATGCTTAAGAAATGTCGGCTTTGATTAATCTAAAAAATCTATCCTTTTGTAGACTTTTTTGGAAATGGAAAATTGCACGGTCAGATTGTGACAAATGGAGCATTATTTTTTTAGGGAATCGGCGATTGGGAAGGATGTGTAAAGCGACTTTCAAGTCTGCTCACAAGACCTTACGTGCACCCAAAATCTCTCTGTAAACCAAACTGCTTTCTAGGAAATGTTGCCGCACCCATGGTATGTCACTTTGTTCACCTTCACGTTCTTGCTCTTATTCAAAAACTTTTCAGGTTTCTCTCTCCTCTATGGCCCTATATGGGTTCTCAGAATACTGGTACTCTCTTGAAGAAGTGCTGTCCTTAGGCGGTCGCTATAATTATTCATTAATTGCTGAAAAATCGAGAAGCAATATTGCTCGCAACGGTGGTCGGCCATACAGGTATGCTGATGCATTTACTACATACATTGGTTTTTTTCTGTTCTGAAAAACAACATCAGCAAGGCTGGTGAGGCTGTGGAAAATACATATAATGTGGTAAGAAGAGCACTCATGGAGTGTGCCACTTGGCCGCACACGAGAAAGGTGTCCTGTTTCACGAGGAAGGTCATGCCTGTTGTCGATGTTAATCCTTTTAACATTTCATATGACTGCCGTTTTGCGTGCTTCGAAAATAGCCCTAACAGGCTTGGGACTCACCTTTGTCATGAAACCTCATAGTGAAGCTTCAACAAGAAAATTGTGTGATAAAAGAAACTGTTTCGCTAGATTTATTACTTCTTCTCAGGCTGCTGCACGGCGGAAATTGTATCCGAAATCTAACGAGGATCGACTGAAAACGCAGTGCTTCAAGTCGGCCTGGATAGCAGCCATATTACATGAGGGATTCGCTGTTGATAAGGAACACAACAATTTCCAGGTGGGCGCTATTCTTTTTGCGAGTTCGATGCATATCCATGCTGTTTTAAAGTCATCCGGATTAATCATAACTGCAAAAGAGAAAAATTAGTAATGGTATTTTGTTGTTTTCGATAGGGCGCTTTCACGGCACAGGGCGCGATAATGACGGCGCGAGGCACCAAAGATGCTCTGAAAGCAATTCTGGCTCTCAAATATGCCCACTGCTTACAGTTGGAAGGGCTGATCAAGCCTATGTTTGAAAGGGACCGTTACCATCGTAGTTCGAATTTGGTAGTGACCGTTCCATCAACCATCGAAGCAGCAGTGACAGCATTGCCTCACGCATGGTGCCAGTGTTTAACTTCGTTTGAATGGCCTCTATGCTAGCGGTAAACTTGTCACCTTTGATACCAACCAGCGTAAGGAGCGTCCTGTTTTTCGTGTTTCGACCTCTTCTTCCTTCTTTTTTTAACCGCGCTTCCCTTTGCACCTATGCTTTAATCTTTCATCTGAACAGGTTATCGCGGTTAATGTCTTTAGCATTATGTTTTCAATAGCGTTTCACGACCTACTTGGATTCCACAGTGTGAGTGTTGATCTTTTCTTCTTCGATTTCATGCGTAATAGGTCTACTTCTTTATTGCTATTTGACCGAGCTGGCGTAGTGATGCCACTGAAAACAGAAAGCACATCTTTTCAGCTGAATTCCAAAGTGATTTCTTGGTTTTCGCTCCATTGTTCCATTTCTGTTGGCTTGGGGAACACCCAGCCCTCCATGTCTAACTCAACACATTTTTGTAACATTGCGCTCTGGTCAAGCAATCAATCACAGTACTGCTTCGATTCTTTCAGTAATGTTACGTTCTAGTCGTGTAGAACGGCAGCTGACGCCGAGCGTGAATTCTTTTTTTATTTTTGAATATCCACCCTTTATTGAGAGCATATCTGCTAATGCACAGAGCAGTAGAGCTAGTGTTTCAGCTGTTGTTAAGGTTAAATCGCCGCTATGATTCTGAATGGGTGCTGAATAAGTGCAAGAGGGCGTCTCTAATTGTAAAGAGTTATCAAAGTAGAATGTTTTATGGTTTCAGCTTACATTATGTAAGTGATTTCCGAGTGTAATGTTCAAGGCCTCACACTGGAAAATTTTAAGTTTCCGGTCTCCCTTGACTCAGAACCCTTGTGGTAATTTTTTAATGAGTTTTTTTGCTTAGTAACAACTCGATTGGAAGGTAATTAAGAAACGGAAGTTTGGCTCTGAAAAGCCGTGATTCCCGAGTTGAAATCTTTCCGTCCTTCGTAGATCTCGAGTTTATTTTTACTGAATAGATGTATAAGCCCAGACTTGTACAGTAGGAAGCCCTTATATTGATGATTTGTT